GAGTGATTTCTCACTTTCCCTCTCACTGTCTCTCTCTGTGTCTCTCCAGCAAGGGCACACACCCTATGGTAAAAAACCTTAAATAAAAAAAGAAAAAAGAATATGAAAGTGAAAAAAAATGGTGTAGTATTTACACATAACCTACACACATCCCCCCTTATACTTTAAACCATATCTAGATCACTTATAATACCGAATACAACACGATCGCTAAGTAAATGTTGTTATACTTTATTGTTTAGGGAGTAATAGCAAAGAAAAAATATGTACCTGTTCTGTACAGATTTAATCACTGTAGGCCTAACTATTATATGCTACACAGCAGCAGCAACAGAACATTTTTGACCTCTTGACTGGCTATGGATGAGAAACTCATGGATACAGAGGACTAACTTCAGTAATCACTCTTTATCTGCAGCTTCATTTTCTGTGGTTTCGGTTACCTACTGCCAACCACACCCCTGAAAATAGGCGAACACAGTACAACTAAATATATTGAAAGAGACTATATTCTCATGACATTTGTTACACTGTCATCTTACAATTGTCCTAGTTTATTATTTTTGTCAACCTTCTGTGAGTAATTTAAAAGTTAAATTTTATTATAGATAGATATAGAGAGGAAAAAACAATATATAGAGGGTGTGTTACTTTCTGTGGTTTTAGGCATTCACTGGAGGTCTTTGAAAGCATCCCCTGTGGATAAGGAGCTATCTATCACACTTTATTTGCTCTGAAGTCAAATCTTAGTAATGTGTATCTAAGGTATTTCTGTGATTGGATGGTATGCAGTACATTTCCTGCATTATTTTAAACATACCTATTCATTGACGTGTGTGTGTGTGTGTATACATACAACTATTTTAAATTGATAAGTCTCCTATATAGAAGTAAGTGATGCAGCATAAAAGGATCTTCAAAGAGTTCTTGGAAAATGCTTATTATGAACAAACTTTGCATAAATTTTAAAAAAAAAATCCTTTTTTCATGAATTTTTATGGAAAATATATGTAGTTAGATGCTGGATGGGGTCTTTATTCTCTCTAATAGTAAGGGCCTTCAAAAGTCATGGAAAAATAGAATTTATTTTGGTGCAAACATTTATGACTTTATTTTGGTGGGAAATTTTTTTTTAAATCTATGAATAATTTTTTTCATAATCCACATTTTTCAAAACGTTTTTTGAAGACTCCTTTTTGGTAATAGGTGAATTTGGCTTGAATCCTATTTTACTCCCAGGAAAAGTCAATGAGATGATTAAGATTCATGCAACTGTCCAAGGAGCTATGGTATGTTTAACTCTGGCTCCTAACTACTGCGAGCACTGAACTTATTCAGCGTGTGGTTCATGTTACTAGTCATGTGATATTCCTATTATGCAGCCCCTAACCCAAGCATTAATATCAGCTCGTAGCTTGATTCTTCACCACCCAAGGTCAACAAAACAAAAAACTATGAAAACCAGTAAGAAACGCATAACATCTACACAAGGGCATTTATGTGAGAGTAAACTCCCTGTAGACTTCAGGCAGATAGAACAGGAGTTTGCAGCATCCTAATGCCCCTGACTCCAAATGCAATAGCAGACCTCCCTGATTTTAACTGTCCTTAATTATAATAATACTCTAGCACATTGCTCCATAGTCCTCTCTCCTCTCTTGTCCCTACCCAAATGCACATCTTATTATTACTATTACTATTTGTTATTAACAATTCAGACCAATTTATATTTCTTTTTAAAATATTTGTTAATTCAAGTCAAAGAGCTTAATCACTTACTTTCCCAAAGACATTTCTCTCTCCCAAAGGCTTTCCTTCTATTAATGGAAATCAGGCTCTAAAAATTAGATATCTATTTTGAATTAATAGTAGTTGTGTTTTATTTTAAGGCAAAATAAATAACAACTGCCTTAGTTATTACATGCATTATTTTCTGAGCCATGCCTTTGCTTATTCCTTATACCTGATGCATTAACTACTAATTCCCTGAGTATCCTTTGCAGGAAGAAATTCTGGATGAGGGATTAAAGAACAGGCTTTATGAACTACAGAGAAATGACATCATATCATTTTAGTACCTGATAGTGCTTTGTTTTACTTGATACATATTAGGAAAATCAAATAATTTAGAAAAGAAGATGAAAAGTGAGACATTGAAGGGAGTATGGAATAGTTATTCTTACATACCTACATTTTGCCATCATCTTCACACTGGAAAAGATAAAACGGAAACTTGAAGCTCACGTAGCTCTTGTTAGATGAAGTAAGAATCGCGCACGCACGTGTGAGTGTGTGTGTGTGTTCACACATACATGCTCATATGAATATGATCAATGTTTGGTTAGCTGGTTTTCATTCAATCAACCACTTTGTGGATCCTTTAAGTGTATTTCCTTGAAGACTTTTTTCAACTTATGATTCTAGAGTCTTTTTTCCCCTTCTGGCAACTGTCTGGCACTTTCATTTGTTAAGCCATTTCTTTTTCAAAGGCCACCCCATGTCCCAACTCTCTAGGAAAACAAATGATCTCCATCTGCCATCTGGGATGTGAGATGATAAATACTTTGATGTAGTTCTTTGAATCTTCGTTTCTCTTTTGTTGTTGGTTTTTATGTCACAATATTATCTGTGTGTAGAACATTTTCCAAGATTGGCTTTGATTAAGACCCAGTTATATTAATATAAAAGAAGGAATAAGAAGAAAGATAATTTGGGGGATCTAGAATCTCTTTTATGTGACTATTTTGGCATAACATAAGATTTTTAAAGGATGTTATAAACTGTTCTTTCCATGTGTCTTATAAACGAAATGGGAATTAGTAGAGGAATATGGGGGAAAGTTAGAACTACACCACATATCTGAAGCAATTTAATTAAATTTAGCAAACCTAGGGGGACCAGCAGTTAGTATAGTGGCTATGTCACTGAACTCCCATGTAGCCAACCATGGTTTGAGTCCTGAACCCGGTGACTTAAACCCACTCCAGGCACGTGTGCGTGTGTGCCCAAGATCCCGAGAGGAGAATGGAGGAGAAGGGATTGTAGGGTGTCCATCACCCCCATCCCGAGGTGATTTCTTGCTTTCTATCTCTCTGTCTCTCTTTCTCTTTCTGTCTTTCTGGCGAGCACGCACACCCTATAGCAAAAACCTCTCAAAAAAAAAAAACAAAAAAACAAAAAACCAAAAACCTATTGTGGCATAGGAGAAGGAATAATGCAGAACTGAATCACACACAGTCAAAAATTTTAAATTCTTTACAAGTTAATACAGTAACTTATTATTTAAAAATATATGCATAATATTCAAACTTCTTCTTATCCAGACTATTTTCTTCTACAGCACCTGACATTTCTTTATTCAGTAACATTTTCTGACATCCTCAAAGTGAAGGCATTATGATTGTTGATAAGAATACAAACACAACTAAGATGAGAGTCTTGCCTTTTCGGAAGGCATTGCTTAACAGAGGTGGCAGGTAAAAATGAAAAGGTTTTAAAACGATTGGTTACTTGATTAAAATAGAAATGTGGGGACCGACAGGTGGCCTACCGCAGTTCAAGATCCAGACAGACCTGGCAGCTTGCTTTCTCATTTTCTATGGTGAGTGCACGTGCCCTATGCCAGATAAATAATAAATAAAATTAAATAAATCTTAAAAAAAATGGAAGTTTGGATCCTGTTATAAAGAGTGAAGGTAGATGAACATGTGCAGCATGTTCTGAGATAAAGAGTAATTCAGTTTAGCTGGAGTTCAATTGATAAATCCCTCACTATAAGGATCATGGCTGAGATACAAGATAACAGATGGAAGAGCCTAAGTGAAGTTAGCAGCAGTCAGGAGGGAGAGATGAGGACATTTTGAGTTATTCAGGATAAAGAATGAACAGAAGTGGGTAACAAATAGGCTATAGAAGGTGACAAATAAGCGAAAGTCACAGATGGCATGGTTTTTGGCTTGGATAGATGGTGATTCCATTCATTTAAATGAGGAAAACTGGACGAAGTGTAGGTTTGGAGGTTTAGGTTAGGATATGTTGAGTTTGAACTATCCGTAGAGTGTGGGCTTAAGATAGTCGTCAGGCCATTAGAGTTTCAGCCTGAAGCTCAGCAGAGAACGCTGAGCTGGTTACATCGGTTTCAGGTCATACAACATTGGGTCAGAGCAGTCTTGGGGTTCATTGGTCAGGAAGGTACCCACGAAAGGAGTGTTAAGGTACACAATTACATTCCTATTAGAAATGTATACTATCTCTGAGTCTCCTAATCTGGATCTGCAAATTCATTATCAAATTTGTAGGACACTCTGTCAAAAGACATGATTTCTCCTTTTCCTTTATTATGACCCATACTTGGCAAGTATTAGGTCAAATGGCCTTTTTTGAAAGCAATCTTTCTTATCTCCCCACATCATCAACTTTTCCCATTTGTTCATTCATACACTTTGTGTTACTCACATAAAACACTTGTGGGGTGTTGTGGGATGGTGGTGACTGGGGTGCTGGACTCCCACATGGCTGACTATGAGAGATTGAGTCCCAGACCTGGAGACCTGGAGGCTTGCTTTCTCTCCATCTCTCTTGTTAAAAAAGGAAAAAAAGATGATAAATACAATAAAATAAATAAACTT